GTTTCATACTGTCTCAGTATGACTTATTATCTACTCTTATTACATTTTTTAAATAAGATTAACATTTTCACTTCTCAATTTAAATTCTTTTTAATACTTTAAATAACTTTAAATCTTATTTAAGTATTATTAAAAAGTATTACTTTTGAAAAAATTAAAAATAGTCTAAAAAAATCTTAAAATGTCTAAAAATAGTAACTTTATACTAAGAATGAGATTAAATGAGACTAAATGAAATTACTTTCTTATTTTTTCTAAGTCATGATTTCATTTTAAGATCTGATGAATAGTCACTTTGCATGTTTTTTTAATTATTAGTCTCAGCAGAATTCATGTCAAGAAATGTATAAGATTAGATTAAATAAAATCAAACATGAAATTCATAGTTCTGATAGCTAGTCTACTCACAAGTCAGTATTCTTTTAATTAAGTGAGCTTTACATCTTTCACAACTGTCTTCTAACCGCATGTAAAACTGCTAATGAGATTGTAGAGAATGATTTCTTATTATAATACTTAGTTACTTAATTAATCTGTTAAATAATATTTTATTCATAATATATATCTGTAAGAGAAGAAAGATCAGAACTGTGTATTTTATAATAATACAATTCAGAAAATAGAGAATATTTACTGTGAGTTTAACAGTAAATAGATAATCTCATTAGCTGTAAATATTTTGAAAAAAGTATAAGAGAGAGTAAAAGTTACAGTTTCTCTGTAGAAAATGCAGATAATTTCACAGAACTACTGTTTTCTTCTGAAGATGAAACTGAAGATTCAGATGATTTTAAAACTAGTTAAATTTATAAGGTTTGCAGAGATTCTACAGAAGTCTTAGAGACAGATTATAAAGATTTTACAGAGACTTAAGCTGTACTGCTGAAGTGCTTTCAAGTTCTGATACTTATACAGTGATTATAACAAGCTCTGCACATTGTATAAAAAGTGTTTAATAAGTGATTAGATGTAAATTACTCAAGAGTCAGAGAATGATGTTATTTAAAACATGTCTTGTTTCTTATAGCAAATTGTAAATAACAGGTATATTATTGCAGAGAAGCTGTAGAAAATTGAAAAACTATAATAGATTAAAAATATGAAAGAATCTGCTATAGAATATACTTCTGCAGCATAGAGAAGTAGTTTTAAAATACAGATTTTATAGAAGATAAAAATTTTATAAAAGAAAAAGTAAGATCTCTTGTTTTAATACAGACAATACATTCAATATATTTAACATATTCAATGTGTTTAACACAGATAATATGATATTGTATTATAAAACTACATGAATTTACAGCTATATTCATACAGAATATGAGAAAAAGAAGAACGTTTACAGTCAATTCTTGAATTGTAAGAACTGTATTGTAACGTGGCGGACCCGAAGCGGTGGCTAATCGGCGGCGTCACGTAGGTAGTTATCTGAGGAGCCGTATAGATAGGCTTGACTATCTTGCTTGAATAGTGAGCTCGTGAGCTATAGAGTTATTGCGAGGATATCATAGGTACAGTACTTAGTATGCTAAGAAGATTGTATGAGAATTGCAGTAACTCTTGCATATATTGCCAGAGGGAAAAAACAAATCACTGGCTCCTTTGATGAGGAGCCAGTATCTAGCTATTCTATATAGACAATGAGTGGACACCCTCCCTCTATTCTATGAGTGAGGATAGCCGGAGTGCTACCGCCGTGGCGCCTCAATGACTTGTAAGTAATCTGCTGACCTCATATAGAAGTGGGGTTCTTATATCCATCAATTGGATCCTCCTATATTGCATCCAAGTGATGTCATAGAGTGGTTGGAAACCGGTTCGAACGCCTGCGGGATGAATGGAATCATCCGCGGGGAAGCGATGGGCCGCGTGGAGCCGCAACGGGGCCTTGGCGCGGCCAAGGGCGTGACATGTATGAGCTCATAGCTGTGTTCATATGAAAGAAACCAGAAGATTTGCAGAACTGTATATTTATAGTGAGTATGAATTATAAATAAAAACTGAATCTTTGCAGAGAGAGATAAATTATGTTATACTTCTCTATAAAAGAGTGTTTTATTGTATTGCAGCAGCAGCAATTGCAGTAATTGAAGCAGTAATTATCTGCTTAATGAGTGATGACTATCTATATAGGCCATTGCAGCTTTCTATACAGGCTGTTGCGGCTCTATATAGGAAGAACGTAGGGTTAATTTACGGTGATTACACCGTGAATTCACCATTCCACCCGTGTCACGTGTTGCTGATTGTAACACATGTTTCACCATTATATTCAGTGTCACATTGCTGAATATTAAATATTAAGATAGTGTTGAGACAGCACAGAACTTATTAATATTATTATAACACTACTCAGTAACTGTGTAATTGGCAGATATTATTATCAGAATACTACTAAGATACTATAAGACACTGTATACTGTTCTGTCAGTGAAATCAATACTATTAAGCTAGTTATCTATTACTCAGTACAATGACTGCTATTCATTAACTTTCTATTCTATTTAAAGAAATGTGACATCTCAATTATAATACAAATATCTTATTATCTGAGACTTATATGCTAAATAATTATCATTTTTATCACTATTCTATATTAAAATATTATATAATACTATCTTTCAAATCATCAGCAGTCTGATAATAGTGTAATTATCAGAATTCTCTTATAAAATCAGTAGATTTAGTAGATAATTATATATAATATAATGTAGAGAAATAAGTATAAAGAAAATTCACTTAACTTCTCTTATTTTATAAATAAATATAATTATAATCTGACTAAGCTCTGTCTCTGAATATTGAATGATATCTTCTTTAATAAGAGAGATTCCGTGAATGCAATCTCTGATTTATATATTAATAAGTTAATAACTAATTAATTGAATAGATATACTAAACTGAGAATATCAACTTATTATAGAAAAGTATTGAATGATAATCTAGTTTCAAAACTGAGAACTTATTTCAATCAGTGTCATAGAATTCTCATAGCTTATAAAGAAATGAATAAAGTAATTCAAGCTTGAAGAGATTTATAAACTATATACTGATTTTCTCTAATATCTTATTTAATAATAGATAATCAAAAATCTTCAGAGTAATATAATCTTTTATTAACTTTAACTTAATAAAGTAGTTCAGTGAATTATTATTTTTATCTTCAGCTTCTTTATTTATTCTCAGCAAATTATTGAACAGTGCTGAATAAACTGTATATAAATCTTGAATCTTCTGTGTCAGATGTATATCAGTGCTGTTAAAGAAATCTCTTAATATTAGTTATAAAGTTCAGTAAAAGCTCTTCTGTAAAAGCAGTTTCTTTTTCACATCTTAATAATTTATTCACTGTACTAGATTCTTATAGTTTTAATACTTATTCTCTTTTATTAAAATATTATAGTTATTGAATACTGTATATTCTTTAATCTACTCAATATAGTATAAATTAATATATATATTCAGTCATTTCTTTATAGATTATATAAGCTTTGCTTTTTTTATATAATCACTGATATATGTGATGACAGTACTCATAGTTAAAGCAGAGAATAACTGATAACTAATAACTGAATCAGCTTAAGATAGTTTAAATATTACTACTACTCTGACTGCTGCTTTAATAAGAAATTATAGTTATCAGCAGACTCTTAGTATAATTTAATGAGTCACTTCAGAATGATTTTCTCTCAGTGATTGAGATATTAATAGACTATTATTTCTTATAATAGCTGTATATATCTGAATAATAAGATCAATAAGTGATTGATTTACTACTGAAAATATCATAGAAATAATCTGTTTAATTACTGAACTAAGTCATTTCTCTCTGAGTTCACACTATAAGATAAGAAATATAATAATTAAGACTCAGATATACTTCTGAAGTTAATACTTCTTAAGATAAATAATCAGTGACTGTAAATAATTTCAATTATGAGAAAAAGAGAATATCTGTAATATTCAGAAATATTCTAGTTAATTATATAATAATAAGACAGAACAGATCAGTAATAAGTATAAAATTTCTAATATTTCAGTAAACTCACTATGATATGAATCAGAAGAAAAAAACAAGATTAAATTTAAACTTAAGTATATTTGAAAAAGAGATATTATCTGTGTTATTATACTCTGCTCTTGACACATTTACTCTCTGTATATGAGATTCAGTAGATCATTCAGTTTAGACTGAAGATATGATATATAATAATGAAATTGATCATTATTACATAGATTGTAGTTCAGATATGATTCAAAGATTGCTTAAGCCAGTGTATAATTACAGGCGTACGCCGGCTTCTTATATTGTAGTCTCGTACGCTAAATTAATTAGTGTACACTATGGCCCCTTTACACTCATACGCGTACACTAGTAGTTCGGAAGCAGCTGTGTTATTATTCAACAGTCATACATTCTTTCAAATCACATTCTCTCTTATCAGATTCAGTCACACTCACATAATCATGTTGTACACTCTAGCTTCATGCAGATTAGCTCATCACTAGCATTTCACAATCATATGACCTATCTCTAATTCAGCTAGCATCTCATGTATACTCTTACAAAGAAACTTTCACTATATTACATTACTTATTCACTAACTTTTCTCATTCTTTAATCATCATCTTCATCATTGTCATTATCAAATGCTATCATCTCATTCAAGATTTCTATCTCTTCTTCTGTTCAACTCTTTTCATCTGTCTCTCTATCACATTGTATGTGTTTCTGGCAATGACTCTCTGTTCTCATAACAAGTGTCATTATAGTACTCATATCAGGCAGTTCATTAGCAGTAAGTGTAACATGTTGTGAAATGTGATCAGAACTTGTTTATCTTCTAATAATTGTCAGAACATACTACTATAGATGATAACACATCTTCTTCACCTTCTTATACACTCTTAATCATTTCCTTCTCAGCAGATTTCTGATTGTGTTTTCTGGCACAATTTTGCATAGACACAGATGCTGATGTTTGTTTTTATTTATATAGAATCTTCATGTGTTGACAGATCTGTGTTCATTAATGATAGTGAACTCAATGTTGAATCATTGATTGAGAATCTGAAGAACATGATAATGAAGAAATTATCTGTGTCATGTGTGGCCAGGTCTTCTACATTCTCTCTTACTCTCTCTGTTTCTTTCTCTGTCACTCTCTCTTATTCTTCTACACCTGTTCCTGTGCCTGGTTCCTCTCCTGCTACCTCTGTTCCTGTGACTCTCACTCATGCTACTTCTGGTTTTACTGTCTCTGCTTTTGTTATCAGCTCTCCCTATTTCAAGAAGATATTGTATAGACTTAATGAATCATCTCTCTCAGTATATATACTTCTGTTCTTCTTACTGACTCTCAGACTAATTTATTGTATGAAGACTGTATATAATATAACTATCTGAAGCTCAGTTGCAGACACTGATTATTACATTCATTTTAAATATTCATGATAAGACAATTGTTCATTTATATCAGAGAATCATCTCTCTCTTTAACAGTGTTAAGATTGTAAGTCTTTTTCTTTTTCATCTTTTCTTTTTAACACTGATTTTTCTGTTCTTAGAAAAAATTATTATGAGTTTTACTGTGTATAAAGTTATGATATTCACAGATATCAAGAAGCTTTTTATGACTGTAAAGTTCAACATTATAAAGATATTCACTCTGATGAATTTCTTCAGAATGATAGATCTGTATCAGTCTATTCTCTGATATCTATCATCTGATTTCATGGTGCAGGCAAAAGATATCTGTGTTTTCAGAAATAGAAATGTGAATGTTATACTCTTTTACACCCGCAGGTGTGAGGCTTGTATGTCTTGTCTGAGATGTTATTGTGAGAATAAGTCATTTACATACTGTATTCTGCTTTCTGTATTCTTCTGTATCTCTCTCTCTCTTTCTGAGAAGCCTTGTGCATGTTGTAATTACATGTACAATTCTAAGGCCAGCAGGTATTCATTCAGTAATTGTTACCCCTGCTTTTGCAATTTTCATATACTAACAATGATTCTTAGTTGCTTCAGCATCAGAGACCATTCTGATCAAAGATGACAACACTGCTGAGACTACTCTGTCTCACTCTCAAGCTTCTCTCATTGCTTTCTCTCTCTCTCTCTTCTCTGCAGGGAAGGTTGTGCACACACCAGATCATAAGTGTTCAGTCCCGGGTGACTTTCACTGTTATTCATCTGATTCTGCATCTTCTCTTCTCTCTGTTTCTTTCATCTCTGCTCTCTCTGCTCTGACTTCTGATTCTGTGAGTTCTGTGCTCTTCTTCAATTTCTCTACATGTATGCATGCACATTTCTATATTAACATTTCAGTCAATCTTGTAATAAATGACATTAATATCATACACAGAGCAGTAGAGGAATCAGAGACATGTGTAATATTATTGCAAGAGCAGCTTACAGCTCTTGAATCTCTTACAGATCTTGAGTTTTGAGATTTCCTTTGTTTTTGATGTTTTTCAGATGATGTAGCATTGAAAATAGATTAACATGTAATGTATGAAAATGAATGAGATGTGTATGATAATATTTGTCTTTTACAGCTAACTCTTACAGTTGATGATCAATTCATCATCTCTTTTCTTATACTTTTTCTTTATCTGCTAGTCACTACTCTTACATAATCTCTATATAATACAGTATTCAGTGACTAGGTTCAGCAGCTTTCATCTTTTGTGATTCTATCTCATACATTATACTGTCTCTCTTCACCTGCTCAGATCACTACAGTGAACAGCTCATTGAAACTAATCTTATCTGATCTCTGAGTGTTCTCAGAGATTGAGATAACTTGATCTCACATGTCTGTGAATGTTTCAGATAGTTCATTCTCTGTAATCTCTGTGATTGAACTAGTGTAAACAGTTAAATTCAACTTTGAATTTCTTTTTCTTCTGCAATCTAACTCACATACAAGTCTGATGCTTTGAGACTGCTCTTTATCATGTTATATCTGCTGTCTGTGATATGTTATCATATAACTGGCTACAGTCTTATCACTTATTGAAGTGTAACATTCATCTGATTTCTTCATTTCTTCTCATTCTTTTCTTATAATTATGAAAAGATCAGAATAAGTGAGATCATCTGATTTATAAGTGTCTATAATTTCTCTTACTTTATAAGACTTTTCAATTATAAGTCTCTTCTTTTTCAATGCTGATGATAGTGCTGTAGATGATTATAATCTGCTCAGGTCTTACATCTTTACTTTCACAAGTTATGAATTATTAATTAAGTTATGTAAGATCTGTCTCTCTGATTCTTTCAATATGTACATTCTCAGAGAATGTGATTTGAGTATTTTATATGACTCAAACTATCTAGATTGAAACTTCTCAGAACTCTTATTATATATGAGAACTTACATTCTTATCTTGAGACTTGATTTCTTAACAAGTGAGTCTTGTATTCTTTTCAATTGAATTGCTCAGTTCAGAAGTAACTCATTAGCTTTTGCATGTGCATGACTGATCTCTTTCAATCTTAGTTTCATATTCACAACTGTTGTATCTACAACTGCTGTTTCTACTGCATCTGCAACTGCTCTCTTTCTCATCTTTTCTGAAGCATTCTTCAGAATGCGCAGATGCAATTCATACAACAGATAGAATGATGAACACTTGAAGACTGCATGCTGCTGAATTCGCGTGGTTAATAGTGTCTGACTGAGATATTCATTTCATAATCTCATAGGCTTGCTCACTAGATATTTTGTCAGCATGTTGCTCAAGATTCTATTCAAGCATTTCATCTTTCTGTTTGTTCATGAATAATATGATATTGTTCTACAATGTCTTGTCTGTAACTGACTCATGAAATATCTCATTACTTCTTCTACAAGATTCATACTGTTATCAGTTAGAATCTCATGCAGCATTTCATAGTTGACATAGATCTCATTATGTAGAAACTTCATCATCATCTTCTCTATTATCTCTGAAACTGCTTTCACAACTGACCAGTCAGTAGTGTAATCAATAACAGTGATTATTCATCAATTTTCATTTGATGTTTGCAGTAATATGTCTATGAGATTCATCTCTCATTGTTTGAACAGTTGTATTGTACACTTCATCTGATATTGTACTTTCTCACATTCTAACCCTTTCTTAGATTCTTTCACAACCTGATAATTCAGGCACTTGTGAGCATATATCTGAATGTCCTTGGTCATACTTGGTCAGTATACTCTTGATTTGAGTACATTCATGAGTTCAGGGCATTCTAAGTGACTGAATTCCTTGTGCATGTGAGTCATCAAGTTATATTGAAATGAAGATTCTAGATAGAGAGCTTCTGCATATTCTAGATCACAGTAAAGCATAACATTGTTTTTCTTTCTCAATTTTCTCAGCTTGAAGTTTGAAAGCATCTCTTCTACTACTTTCACAAGACACTTGTTATCTGATATCTTGTCATTCTTCAAGTAAGAGATCATGATATTCACTCATTCTGATTCCTTGCATTCTCTCAGCATGTTTAATATAAACATCTCTTGTATCTGATTCACAGAATTCTTATTCATGAAATCAGATCTGTAACTGATTGCATCAGACATCACTGTGTCTGATCTCTTTCAGTATTTGATATGAAGATTATACACTTGAAACTTCAAGATTCAACATGCTAAGCATTTGAAAGGTTTTATCATTGATTATAGATAGATGAGGCTTTTATAATCTATGATTACTGTTGTTATATGCCTGTTGTTAATATATCTATTTCATAACACCAGCACATGCTTGATCACTAGCAATTTGTTTTCATATACTGAGTAATTAAGCTCAGTGCTCAATAGTTTTCTATCATTATATATTATCAGATGCAGCTTGCTGTTCTTACTCATCTGTAGAAGAGTATCTCTGATAGCTCATTCAGATGTGTCTGTCTCAATGTAGAAAGGTTTATCATGATCTGATTGAATAAGCACTGAGAATATTATTATACATTTTCTCAGTGTGAGAAAAGCCTCTTTACATGCAGTATTTCAGATAATTGAATAAAACTTCTTCTTTCACAGATTTGCATCTGTTTCTCTTAAGAGATCTGAGAGTGATACAGATATTCATGTGAAATCCTTGATGAATCTGCAGTAGTATGAGATCAATTCAAGAAACTGTTATACATAGTGTACATTTCTCAGCTGCAGTCAATTTACTATGACATTCAATTTCTTCAGAATGAGGTGTATACAGTCATCACTTACTATATATCTCACAAACTCCAACTCTTCTGTTTCAAACACACACTTGATTGATTTAACATAGAGCTTATACTCTGTCAGAGTTGTAAGCACTTCATTGAGATGCTTCAGATATTCATTATATGAGTTTGAAAAGACTAGAATGTCATTGAGATATATGAGGCATGAGGTTTTATTCTGTTTATAAAGAATCATATTCATCATCATTTGAAAGATGACAGGTGCATTTGTCAGACTGAATGACATTGCTAGAAATTTGAACTTTTCTCATTGTGTATTAAATATGATTCACAGGACTGACAGTTCATCTATATGAATCTGCTAGTATTCTGAGAGAAGATTGATCTTTAATAGATATTAAGTATTTTCAACTGTATTTAACTGTTGTTGAATCTGTGACAGTGAATATTCATTCTTGATCATAAGCTTGTTGAGTGCTCAATAATTGATACACATCTGTCACTCTTCATCTGTCTTTTTCACAAATAGGACTGGAAAGCCCCACGCGCTTGATGAGAGTTGTATGAGATCACATTCTAGAAGGTCTGTGATCTGACACTTCTGTTCTTTGAGATGTGTTTGTGACAGAGAGTACACATTCTGATTGACTGGTTTTGTATTCTCTGTGTCAATCTCATGTACAAATCCTTGTTCCAGCAGCAATTCTGATGAAAGATCTGTTTGAAAGATCTTTCTATGCTTCTTCAGAAGCTTCTTCATATGCTTATCCTTCTGCATATTCTTTATCTTGGTTTCCTCCGCTTCCAGATCCTGTATGACATACAGAATGCTTTTGAATGAGGTCTTGCAAATCGTCCTCTTTGCTTGTTAATGTGTAAGCAGATTTAATCCTTCTATATCAGAGATGTGAAATGTCCTTCTCATATCAGTTGATAGAATCATATAAATCATTTTCTTCCTATCAGTCAACTGCATATGACATGTATGTCATTGAATCTGTGAATTGAACCTTTGAAATCAATTAAGTTTAAGAATAAGGTTGTATTTCATGTTCTGCAGCTCTCATGCTTAAATATAGCAAGATCATTCTCTGAAGTGCAAGAGAACTCTTACTTTTACAGGTGATATCAAATATCAGTTATCAGATAATCTTATGTGTCAGGGATTCTTCACTCAGTGAACTTCTTTCAATCTTCAGATTATATAATTATCAATATATTATATTAAAGCTTCTGTGTCTGCTAACACTTTTGCAGCCATCTCTCAATTCTTACTCAAGTGCCTCTTATACATTAACATTTCAGGCCTCAAGGCATTGAGGTGAGTGTTCACTTCCTCATCTGCATCTCAGTCAGAAGCCTGCTTTCTCTTTGTGTTTGCAGGATTCAGAGAGTCATCTAACACAGGCATCTCTTTCACTTTGAAGACTTTTCATAGAATATCAGTGAGTGTCTCTGAACTCACTGATTCTGCTAGTTTTTTAACTGTGTATGCTGAGTGCAATCTTTTACATCATGATTTTAGCATCTGCAGTTGAAACAAGCTCAATGCTTGCAATACCAAGGTTTCCACTCAGAGAATCTCTTTTTCAGAGAATTCAGTGCTTTAGTGATGACATTCAGATCTAGATTCATCATGTCTGAGTGTGTGACTTGTGTTATAGAAGTCTGATTATCTGTTCTCTGCTAGAGCATACTCAATTACAGTATTTTCTATCACAATTAACTCACTTGTTCTCATACAATGAGAATGTTGTATGCTTTCTTCACTGTGTCTGACTGTGAGATTAAGCATTTTCATTTCACTCTCAACTCAGATGTAAGATTATGAATAAAGATCTGTAAACAGAATAATATTGAAAGCTCTTCATTCAACACAAGATAGTGTAAGCTGAAGTGTGTGAAGTACAATATAAGATTACTCACTTGTCTACACTTAGTGAAGTGTTTGTAATGCTTATCTTATATATTCACTTCCT